GGAAGGCAGGAAGGGAGGAAGGAAGGAAGGAAGGAAGGAACGAACGGAGGAAGGAAGGAAGGAACCGAGGGAGGAAGGAAACAAGGAAGGAGCGGAGGGAAGAAGGAAGGAAGGGAGGAAGGAAGGAAGAAAGAAGCGAACGGAGGGAGGGAGGAAGGAAGGAAGGAATGCACATATACATATATAAAGACACATATACATATACTGAATTAGATTATTGTACTACTTTGTAGTCTAGTACCTTATTCATTATTTACGTTTGTATTTATATACGTACACACACACACACAGATGTGCGTGTGTATATATATATATATATATGCACACACTGCGTGTAAAGGTTTTTTATGTAACTTTTAGACTATTTGTTTCGTAACCTATATATATATATATATGTATGGGTACACTCCCTCTCTCTGTTACATGATAGGGGTATATAAAGTATATGCTCCATATAGTCGTTAGTGAAAAGTATATAGTACACAGTATGCATTATGTTGTACAAGGTATGCAGTCTATTCTGGTTCGTGTGTGTGTGTGTGTATTATATATACCACATATAGTGTATATAGAATTACTATGTGTGTATATATACATGCATGTATGACTTTGAAGACTGTTTTAGCACATCAGTATGTATGGCATTCGCACGTATAGTATAGGTGTATATACCAGAGCTAATACTGTGTGTGTATATATGTACTTATTCATGTATGGTTACACTCATACACGCTCTACATACCTTTTTTTTGTACAAAATGAACATGTATCTATAGGATACATAGGTTTATAAAGTATCAATACTGTAGTATATATAGTATACACAGTTCGTACATATATATATACACACGTATAGTTAGATGATGAGAAATTATATATATCTATATACATATATATAAAGTACGATTAGAAGGTACATGCAGTAGCAGTATACACCTTTATAACATGTATAATCTATATACATATACATACATACCTACATATATATATATATATGTGTATTGAGAGAAAGCATCCATACATGTATTGCTTTCCCATATTGTATAAATTGCGGCAGACTCGACAGCCTATATAGTCAATATAACGTAACATCTATATACACATGTTTTTTACGTGCTATACATACTGTTCACAAATCGAATACCACAGCATATGTATGTATATATATATATACACATATATCTATATGTATATATATATATATATGTATACCATATGTGCATTACAAATACCTACATGTTACACACAGGACGTATACACTGAAGGCTCTCCTTAAAAGGGTCGGAAGGTTTCGCAACAAGGTTCCCTCGTGCGCACGCAGTCAACAAGTGTACTGTCTTAGCAAACCCCACGGCACCGGCCCCCCTCCCGAAAAAAAGGAAGCCCCCCGAAAAGGTCCCCAAAAAACTTCACCCTAGCAGAAGTGCACGAAGATTCGACAGACTATCAAACGACGCCCTGACCTTGTGAGAGGTGTTGCAGCGGACAACACACCTTGACCGGCTACAGTAGGCATGAAGAGCTGTATCCATGTCTCCGTCTGTTTTGTTTATCAGGTTACTAAACACTACTCACTACACATATTGGGGAATTTTTGCCGCAAATACGTTTAGGTACTAAACTTGAAGCCGTGTGCCTCGGGGCAGACAGCACGACAGATCCTCTTCAAAATCAGCGGGAGCGACAAAGCGCTCAACCCACGAGTAGGGTCTGGGAGAATTTCCGATGAAGCATTCCTGTCATTTCTATCGTTGTTAGTATTAATACTATCACCATTATCATGAAAACCATTCGTACTATCATTATTATCGTCGTTATTATGATGATTATGATTATTACTGTATTACAATCCTCGGCAGCTTACAAATCCAAGCAACGGCATTCGAAAGCCAGAGGACAGGCCGATGCGTTGGGGTCTGTTTGCCGGAAAAAAACAGATTCCGCTGCTCCAATGAGACATCGAGAGGCTGTGGTCAGGATGGAGATTCGTGTTGACACAGCAGAAGGGTGCTCGCCCCAGATCTTTGCGAGTGTAATGCCATCGAGAAACACTGCAAGCTGCATCGGTGAGGTTTGCCGCCCCGAAAGACACCTTTGTTTCGATGCGAATCGGCGACTTCCAGAAGCAGTCTCGTAAGCTGCCAAGACACGCCAATACCGCGGTGAGTGCACACATCCGATAGCTCAGGACATTTGTTTACGACGCTAAGACTCTGGGACTCAGGATTTGACACGGCCAAGACATACAAGTTCCCGAAACTGGAGGATGCCAGCGGCCTCGCGCGGATCGAGGCGGGAAGGGGATGTACTTGGAAATACAAGCAGCAAGTAATGCACGTAGCACGTCACACCGAGCATCGGATCACGACGATGCTCATACACTACTATGGGCACATGTATGTATGCATGCATGCGTGCATGCATCTATGTATGCATGTATGTATCTATGAGCATCTGTATATATATATATACACAGGTGTTATATATGTATGTATGTATGTATGTATGTATGTATGTATGTATGTATGTATGTATGTATGTATGTATGTATGTGTATATATGTTCCCTGTTCTTGGTTCACCCTCCCCCCCGGGCCCGGTTCCAGACAGGCCAAAGCCCTGTGACTGTGTGCACTTCTTCTATATGTCGGATCCAAAACCGTCACCTGTCACGAGGAGTTCTTCCCAAAGTCCTCGTGACAGTGCACACTTTTCAACCACGACTCCGACATCAGAGTTTAAAGCTGCAACTGTCACGAGGATCGCGTCCCTGTCAGGCCCCGTTCCCGTGAGAGTTGACCCAAGAAAGGAACCGGATGAGCACATATCCCTGTGACTGCGCGCACTCCTTCCATATGGCGTCTCCAAATCTGTTAACTGTCGGCAGAGGATGATGATGGATGATGAGGATGCTTCGCATGATGGTGAGGCACACCAAACTACACCGCGTCATGTGGATGGTGAGCATGATGATGAGGCATTCCCCGAACTGGCAGCCCAAGCAGACCCAAACAAAATGTAAGCTTGAGCCCAAGACCAAGAGCGTATCACCTACATCCCAGAAACATCCAGGAGCTGGGGATCAGGATCTAGACTTTCAAACCCGAACCCATGGAAACGTTGCCAGACCGCGGAGTAAAGGCGCTTTCACAAAATTAGGTTTGGTGGCCGACTCAGCTCCCTGTACAAGAGAATCCTTAGTATAAGGACCCCTGACGAAGGCACCCCACTGTAGGATTCGGGCCCCACCGCAAATGATGATGATCCTGATGATCCTGATGATCATGGTTAACAAGATGAGGCTGCTGATGAGGATCAAGATTCAAGATGACGGTCATCATCATATAGTCATCATGGTGGAAGTCATCATCGCGATGATTGTCGTTGGATGCTGCTACTGCTGCTGCTGCTGCTGCTGCTGCTGCTGCTGCACCTGCTGTTAGTATGACGATGATGATGACCGTTGCTGCTGCTACTGCTGAAGAATATGAGAAGGGTGATTAGGATGATGGTGATGAGGATGTGACGATAGTGACGACGACGATGACGACACGATGACGATGATGATGATGATGATGATGATGATGATGATAATATAGGTGTGCAAATGCACAGCGCTCAAGGGGCGCCGGGCACGGAAGTGCTTGCCTATAGGCCTCGCAAGGCGTTTCAAGTGGACGCTGCGATTCGAGAGAGAGAGATGATGATGATAACGATGATGATGTTGATGACGACGATGATGATGCCGCTGATGTCGCTGCTGCTGCAGTAGGCGCCGGGCCGCGGGGGCACAACTACACCACACCACGAACGGGGGCGAGAGAACCACATGAACCACACGGCCACACAACAGCGGGGAAGTGGGAGTATCACACCACAGAAGGGAGAGGAGAACCACAAAACCGCGGTTTTCAGGGGGTACCAACCATTGAGGGGGAGGGGGGGGGAGCAGCCGAATCGGGATCATATATATATATATATACACTCACACACACACACACGCACCTTTTAGTACATCAGACTTTGAATGTATATACACACAATATTACACCACATGTATATAGCCTCTGGCATGTCGAGCAGCAGCGGTTTCTGGATTCTGTAGCGGCACATCGATCGGACAGAATCTGCCAAAGCCGTAAACCCTAAAGCCCGATTCCGAAGACTCTGCACCCAAAGCTCCTAAACCCTTAAGCTTTCCACCATACCGTTCCAGCTCCCCTGAAATTAAAGAACTGCGAAACGCACCCCCGAAAGGAATCTTTGTCATAATCCCAAAGCATGTTCATGTAGCCCTACAGCCCCAAGATGCCCCAAGCCCCTAGACCCCCCAAATCCTAAGTTCCCAGGCCCAAAGGCCCTAGACCCCCCTTAATCCTAAGCTCCCAGGCCCAAAAGCCCTAAACCCGGCAAGCTCCCTAAATCAAAGAACCGTTAAACGCACCCCCAAAGGAGTTTTTGTGGCAATCCCAAGACATGTCGCAGGTCTTTCAGCGCGTTGGGCACCAGACGGTCAGCCTGGGGAAGCTGCACCACAGCGAGCAGAGCGTTGAGGCGCCCAGTGGTGTACATGTCTCGGTACATATTATATATATATATATATATTATATGTTATATATATATATATATAATATTTATATAATATTCATATAATATTTATATAATATTTATATAATATTTATATAATATTTATATAATATTTATATAATATTTATCTAATATTTTATAATATTTATATAATATTTATATATAATATATATATATATAAAATATATAAATATAAATACGAATATAGGTATATATATATATATATGGGAGTTTCCGAAAATAAGGGGTGCCCTATCCTTATAATTACGAAAGCTCCCTCCAGGGATGCTTGAGTTTTAAACCCAGCTTCGCTGAATAGCTAAGGGGGTGTGGGGGGTGGTTTCGCTGGTTTTTCGGGCCATTCCAAATGCTATGGCGAGATTGGGGGTGTTGCCGTTTTGGCCTCTTTTCGGGGCCCGCACGGTGACGTCTGGAGAGGGGTCTTTTTGGAGAAACGGACGCCAATGATGCTCATGATGCCTGTGCCTGGTGGGCCCAGCTTTCCTCGGAGCGCCGGTCCTGTTTGTGACCGAGGTAAATTTTGTGTCAGTTGTCCTGTTAAACGCTCGCCGGCCGCTTGCCTTCTCGAGTCGCAGCATTCAGACTGCTCCGCAGCTTCCCCACTGGCCCCGCTTAGTGAGCTCTCGCCCCCCCCCCCCCTTGTTTGGGGCACAAGTCAGGATCCTAGTTTCGGAAATCCCCCGCTGGATACGAAATGCCAGGTCCCATCGTTGGGTACCCTTCATTTCTTAGCTTTCCTTTAGTTTCACAGTTCCACATGTCCCAGCTCCCGAATCGTTGGGTATCCTTCATTGTTGCCTTTCTTATTTGGGTGGTTTCCAGGCTCTGTGCTCAGGGACAAGGCAGAGGCTGCTGGCAGGTGCATCTAAACACTAAAGTGTAGTAGAAGACGGTCTTGGTGGCGTCCGTCTAGCCTAACTAACGGCAAAAAGCCTGTGGCGCGGCACCTAAACTTCCAGGGGCTCGAGCCCCGGCTCAGAAACGAGCAAATTTTCTTGTATCGGCTTCTGCCTTGTGCCCTAAGCCTATTTTGGCCCCTGCCTTGTGCTCTAGGCATAGGGCCTGGAAACCACCAAAATAAGACACGAAGCCCCTACATTTCTTATTTTGGTCCCCGGCCTGTACCCTAGGCCTGGGGCCTGGAAACCATCCAAAATAAGAAACGTAGCCCCCTACATTTCTTATTGTATCTTATCTAGGCCTAAATACACATGTACACACACACACACGCCTGCATTATGCTTTACCTTTGCTCTTTTTGTATTTCTCTCTCTCTCTCTCTCTGTCTCGCTCGCTAGCCTCCTCTCTCTCTGTCTCTCTATCTCTCTATAGGCTCTATCACTCTCGATCTATCTACGTATACAGCTAGCTAGCCAGCTAGCTAGCTAGCTGGCTGATCTATTTACCTATCTATCTGTCTGTCGATCTAGCTCTCTATCTATCTCTCTATCTACGTACGTGTAAGCAAGCAATGAACAGTTACATAGATAGGCACGTAAGTAGACACGTAAATTTATAGACGGACAAATGAAGCAAGGAAGGAAGGAAGGAAGGAAGGAAGGAAGGAGGGTAGGAAGGCATGAGTGAAGAAGGAATCAACACATGAACACATGAATGACTGTTCTAGTCCGTGACTGAGTGAGTGAGTGAACAAATCGATGTCTGGATGGATTTTGTAAGCTAGTAACTACAAACGGGTACATATATAAATACTTACATACACACACGTATACTGCAAGTGTATGTCGAGCTACTTGACGAGGTCTCTAGAAGCATCATAGCTCAGTCCTCAAGCCGCTGCTTGCACAGGTCCCGGTCAACATGCCAGGCATGTCCTTCCTACCGATGAGGCCCAGCAGCTTTTGAAAAGGGGGTCCTTGAAGTGCAGGAAAATTGCATCAGATGTAGCTGCTTGACGTCAGGCTCGGGCTTCACACCGGCCAAGCCTTAGCCTCGGACCCTCGTCCTTTCTCCACTTCAGAGTTACCACCATGTCCTGATGAACAGGAGGTGAATACGGAGCCGAAGATCAAGAAGGACACCAAGGTGAAGACCAAGCTCGATGCGGCTCAGAAGTGAGCCTCAGAGAGTAATCCAATCTGGCAAGCTCCCGCCAGATAGATGGGTTTGGCTTCTTGGTTGTGGTGGCTCGGTGTCTGTGTGCTTTGGCTTCCTCCTCCATGATGTTGCAAAGACTGCGGGCACAATTGCGGCAATCACCTTGTGTAAGCTCTTGCTCCCTAGAGCCGATAAGACCGTATTCTCTTCGCTCTCAGCCTCCGTCCTGCAAGCCGTGCGCTCCCGGCCATTGAACAGCAACGACACATCAAAGGCCGTAATGTTTGACATCGTTGTAATGCATTCGGGACATCGAGAACATGATCTGTTGCTGTCGGTCGGGGGTGTTATCATTTGCATCTTCTTCCCCGCCATCGAGCAGTCCAACAAAAACATCCACGCTTCATATCCGGCCAATAATGATGTAAGCAAGCGTGCCTGTGCAATAACATGGGCATGCTCTTTATCTTCTGCATGCAACACTCGATCAACATGATTGATCTCTTCGACCTTCAGTGCACTTGGCAACGAACATAGAGCTCCGACACCTGTCAAGCTTTCTCGGGCCTATATATGGTCATCGTGCACCCTTGGTTGAAGTGCCTCTTGCGCCCGCTGCGTGCAATCCCCAGGCCACGAGCCCCAGGGACTGTATGACCCCTCGGGCGTCTGCACTCATTCAAGTCTACGCAATAATGGTGCAGGTACTTGGCGGAGCATCAGCTGGAGGAGGTTATCGCTGATGCAATGCGTGAGGTTGGACCCTCGACCGTAGGCACTCATGCACAGCGGCACAGCGTTAACAGTGCATCAGTAGAGCATCTTCTCCAAACTGATTGAATGTTGGCGTCTTGTGAGTCTGCCGAGCTCAATGCCTCTTCCAGGTCATCCACGAGAAGCCCGCCGAGCCGCTCATATTTCTGTCCTCCCAGATCCTGAAACATGTCAGGGGCTGAGTGAGAGGGGGATGCGACTCGGGTGTTTCCCATTTCCGCACACCTCCGGTGACTGTGAGAGGCGGCCACCAGGAAGCCTGGGCTCCTTCCGTGCGGACCTCGAGTTTCTGGCCCTTTCAACTGCATCCCTGACAAGACGGGGCAAGGGGCGAGGCTTCCAGCTTTCAAGCCAGAGCTCGTCGAATTGTGTTTCAGGAGAGCCCTGTGCACTTTCAGGCAGAATTACGGATGCCGATATCTAAACGTACTCCGAGAGCTCTCCATAAGGCGCATCGACGGTCAAAAGGAGCAGCCGCCGGCGCCGCCAGCGCCGCAACCCTATGTTTGACTTGTGACATACAAAGTCTTGAGAGCACCCTACCGAACAGAGTAGTATGCGGAGGAACAAAAAGGCGAATCCTTCTGAGAAGCTGCCGCCCATCAGCGAGATGCCAAGATTTGCTTCTTGCGAGTTTCAGAAATCTTGACCCGAATGCACAGCCCTAAATGGTACCCTGTTTTCTGAAACTCGCTTTTTGCAACCGGGTCGAACAAACCGGTATAGGCTGGCATGTTTCCACGGCTGGCAAGGTGGAGCTGGCTACCCTGAGGAAGCCCTTCTCCAAGATGGTTCAATGAGGGATGCTGCTGGTTTGTTCCGTTCTAGTCGACCAGGTACCTTATGACTTGCAATACAACTTCTACACTACAGGACTGTTTTCCGCTGTATTCTTCCTGTGGTGCTGTACTCGGCGGTGGGCGACAACTAGCAACCCCATGCTAAGTTACGATGTCCCTCAAGATCTTACTCCATCGTTGCATGCAGTGAGCTAGCTTGTTAACTGTTATGGTCGATGTTAGCAGTTTCTGCTGTCTTGGCACATCTTGCACTTCTCGTAAGCTATCTCCCATTCTGTTCCTTTGATAGCAGAGTTGCAGCATACTGGATTCCTGCAGGTTTAAGCTTGGAAGACAGAATCGCATCGCACGGGCTTCGATCTATCATGTGTTCTCGTAGCATGGTGGGGGAATTGGATACCATGCAAGGACCATCGAAGGTTCGGTGGGGAATGGGCAGGTAGGCAAGGCTACACACTATATACAATCATAGTGACATATTTGTGTACATATGTTCATAGGCGCATATACGTATCGATGTACGGACATACTGAATCCATACCTACATCATACATCTGATATACATCCGTAGTAAAACACGTGTACCAATACAATCCTAAACCCATTCGTTTCCTCATGACACACGGACACGAACTTGAGCTCCGCTAGGGTCTTAGATTGGAAGCCCAGGGCGGTGAGCTGAACCGCCTGCGACTGGAGGCACACTTGGAGATTAGAAGTTCACAACTGGTGCGTCGTTAGAGAGCTTAGTGGAGCTTTGTAGGGGTTTATGGGATTTTAACGCATCGTTCCTACATAGGCCTACAGTGGGAGTGCCAGTTTACGGTTTCGGATGGTATGTTGTATAGAATCCAGAATAGGACCATGGCTGCAACAATTCACATGTTGTACAACTGTGTTCATCATAGCCACAGCAGTAGCCGTACGTTGTCGAATACGTATACGAAAAGTGTGGTGGTTGCTGTGGATAGATCCCTGTAACATCCTAGGACGCATGTGAACAAATCCGTTTCCATGCATGCGCTTGCGGATGGTTACTGCCAGTGAACAGATTATCAATGACCAGATAGTTGCAACAGTCGTAAAGACGAAAGAAGTACTTGGGACTACCATTGAGTGCAAAGTCATGCTGCATTTCAGTAAGCGGCATGTTCTGCAAGTTCAAAGAGCTGATGATAGCTCTCCCAGGGTAGAACACCGACCGGAGAAGAGTTGAGAGACATGCATGCGCAGCCAGGCGCGAGATGCGCTGCTCCAGTCTGCACAAAACGGAAGCTTAGCAGCGGTTCTCGCGGCTGCCGACCCAGCAAACTCAGACCGTGTTGCCTTCCATAAATCCATCCTCCAATCATGGCTGGTCAGCGTCTGAGGGAGACTCTGCCATGACCCGAGATTCTTGCTGGTTTGGGTCGATGCTCTGTTTGCGGCGCTCTGATATGTAATTGAACATTGGCGATCAGCGCCGCTTGCATGCTGGTCTTGACCACAGGCAGCAGATATTGGAAGCCTGCGCGAAGAGGCAGGCAGCATATCATCCGGGATGAATGGAAAGCTGCTGCTGCAGTTTGTGGTTAACTCGAGTCTGTTCGCACGTAATCTCAAACCCTAGTTCTAGACTCTTCCTCAACTCTTAATCCTTGTCAGGCCGCAAGAACGCTCATCAACGCGGCGCGTGATGGAAGCCTGGATGTGGCGCTTCGCGAGACCAGGGCCGGACAGGACACCTGAACAGCTGTGGACTATCTTTACTTTGCCGATCAAGGACTTCGTAGATACTTTAACTTGGAGCTGCACGTATTCTTATTTCGGATATACCAACTAGTACTTATGATAAACCTACTTCAGGAGCAGCATGCCTACTGTGAACCGAAGGATTTTGTCAGGGCTTCGTTGCGGCTGTAGTCGGGCCTGACAAGCAATGAAGGCTTGACAAGGCTTAGAAATAATTTCATAAAGCCTTAAATGTGTTTTAAGTCAGGCTTAGTAGCAGAACAAGGTCTCAAGAAGGGCTTCAGATTCCTAACGCTGGGTTGTCAGAGGTTCATCAACGTCGTGCGGATTGGCAGGCATACGAAGGCTTTGAGGGGCTCATCAAGGGCTCAAAAGGTTCATGTCATTGGGATCCGATACACTAGATGATCAACGAAGTCCTAACTGATTCGACTCCAAAGGAGCTTGATTGGAGCCTTTGCAGGGGCTTCAATGAGGTTAGATAGTGGTTCACATCTCCACATGTTTCAAGTGACAGTTTCCAGTTTCTCCATTATGCGGAATGTTGGTTGGACTTTTTCGTGGTTTCATAGTCCAACATTTAGGTTAAAGTGAAACACGAAAACCATTGACAAGTTGGGATTTGTAGGGCGGATTCGGTTGCAGAGCACTCAAGGCTCGCACGGCAACTGCTCCCACGGTGCGTTTTCAGTTCGCCTAAAGTCGTGCTCTCGCTGCAGGCCTGCTCGCGTCTTGAAGCTTCGAAGTTCGTGACAATATCGAAGAATTGAGACTTTCTTGGTTATTGTTAGCATGCAGGTTCTCTCGATCCTAACTTCGAAATTTCAATTCTCGCCGCATTCCTGTAGACGAAGGCTATGTATGCTGTAGCTTGAAATTGCAGGTTCTCTCGATCCTAGCTTCGATTTTCGATCCTAACTTCGACATTTCAATTCTCGCAGCATTTCTTTTGACGAAGGCTGCTGAAGCCCGAAAATTTCACTTTTTTCCAGAATGTTGCAAAGGGTTTTCCCCAAGGAGAGATGCTCACTGTACCCTCTGGAGGCTTTCGAAAATGCAGAACCTACAGTACTAAAAGTGTAGAATCTACAACTTTGAACGGTTGGAACTTGCGGAGGTCCTATGTCTTCGCAGTTTACCTATTATTACTACGTGGTTCTCCAAGGTGCAACTTACGGAGCTCGCTTTTCAAGCTATTTGGACCGTAGCCTGTCTAAGTGTCAATTTTTACAAGATGTATATCTCGGAATTTTGAATACGATCAAAGTTTCCGAAGCATTCAAAACTCCAATTTCCGTTCTTTCAGTTCTCATTTTCCGTTGTTATGTATCTCAGAGTTTCACTACGTTTCGACACATGTTCAAGGGTGTCCAAGACTGCCCAACATGTTCAATCAATTTCAATCATCTCTTAACGTCACAGTTCACACACAATGAAAATTGAAGCAGTTCTTCAGAATTTTAAAGACAGCTTCGCAACCATTGCAAGCGTTGATTCACCTCGCAGCGTAATCATGGACAGAAATCCCACAAGTCCATCAGAGTGAACCCAGGCTTGTTTTCACGTTCACGGTTGTTTCGGTCTGGTTGCCACCTCTGTAATCTGCTTCCTGGAAGAGCAGGGTCGTGACCCAGAACCTGCCCAATCAAAACCCCTGTCCTCAATCAGCTCGAGTGAAGTTGGGCAGTATGCCTTTGGCCAGGACGGAGCGGAGCTTGAGGAGCTGAGGCAGCAGGCGAGCTGTAGCCGTTGGTCTCCCTCTGATTTCAGTCTATTCAGCTGGAATACAGCCCGATATCAACCGAGGGGCAAGTGACTGCAGGCAAGAGCCACTCTTCTGCAGGGAGCACGTGATGGGTCTTTGACGGCCGCGCTACAAACCACGAAGGATGAGGCACCCGTCGACAGGAAGAGTTGCTATTGTTTGAACGTGTGCTTATCTGATGTGTCGAGGACAAGGTCGAAGACCTGCGAGTCCAGGCATTTTGGGACCAAGTACTCTAGAGTTTTTTTGGGACTCTACTTCACTGCCAGGCTCGCGACGCATTGCTGCTTGCCTCCATCAACGGCAGCCTGGAGAAGGCTTTGAAAGAAGGTCGGCACTCGAAACCGTGACTTCCTGTGAATCAGGGGCAGGATGTGGAGAAATTGCGAAGTGTTCCTTGCCCAGGGAAGTCCCAGAAGAAGCCTCAGGAGCGCTGCAGTTGCTGCTCCTGGCTTATGCTCTTGGCTCTCGGAGCTCAGTCGAACAGGAAGACGAGCTTGAGGAGCTTCGAGTGCAGGCTCAGCTTTGGCATCGCCACGGTGTCTGGAGGCTTCTGTGTCGGCAGGCTCGCAATGCCTTGTTGAAGGGATCCCTCGACGGCACGTTGGAGAAGGCACTCCACGCAGGCCGGCGCACGACTTTCTACAGAACCTTCAACTTCTTGGCACTTGCAAACTCTCCAGAGCCAAGGCAAGTCTGAGAAGCAGCCCGAGGCGCGCCCTGCGCCCCGATGCGTTGGACTTCCAAAAACAGTTCAGCTCTCTGAGGTCGCAGCCTACAAGTATACTCCGTGCCTGGCTTATCTTGTGGGCATTCCACCGGAACGACTCGATTGCGATCTGCCAACTCGGGGCGTCCGTCTCTCCAATCCCCTCTGAGGTCGGTAGGCTCATGGCTGCAGAAAAAGCCGTACCAGGTTGGGCTCGGGCCAAGGGTCCATGGCAGGATCCGAACATGTAGTGATCTGTGGACCGCAGGTCGCTCGACCATGGTACTATACTGTCCACGGGGAGACGGAGGATGACAAGGCACAGGGCACTGCTCCCCTCAGCCGTTCAGCATCTTTCGAGGGAATTGCCGAGTCTGCATCACAGGTCATCAAGGACCTTCAGAGCGTCATTGCAGAGAAAGAGCGCGAAATCGAGAATTTGAAGGCGAGAGCGTGCGCCAGTCTCTGACCGCCTATGACAGCTGCATGCAGTCTGCAGGCCACTTTGAAGTCGAGTGGGCTTGATCTGAAAGCTCCAGCAGCCGCACGCCAAGCTGTGCAAAGCGGGCGTCATGTCCAATTCTGCCTCAGCCGAGGCTGCACCTGCCGCTCCTGCCGCAGCTTCTGCCCCTGCTGCAACGAAAGCTGAACCTGCAGCAACTGTAACGTCTTTGACGCCATTCAGGCCAGGGTGCAGCAGTTTTGAGGCTTTGTGAAGTCTGCAAAAAGTCCAGCGGGAGGCCCTACTATGCCCAACACTTGCGGACCCTCCATCCAGATTCCATGCAGGCTGGGCTTAAGGCGTCTTTGCAGCCGTCTGTTCCTCTTCTCCACCATGGCAGAAGCTGTACTCCAAGTTCCCGGGCGTGCCGAAGCCACAGCCAAAAGCACCGGAGGCGGGTGCTAAGCCGGTAGAGAATGCGGGAGCAATGAAAACAGCCCCAGCTCCAGCCCCAGCCGCAGCCTCAGTCAGCTTCGCCGGTGTGTTGCAGAATGAGTGCATGCGCACGATGGCAGGAACAAGCAGTAACACGTGTATGTGTGTGCATGCGCACAATTGCATATATTAACATGTAATATGTATATATACATTCATACACACACACACACACACACACACATGCGTGTGTGTGTGAGTATGCACGTTCGTATGCCCCCTCTCGCGGTAGCGAGGGGAAGGGAAGGGAAGGGAGGGCAATAATGAACGTAATGTAGTGTATGTAATGCATGTATGTATGCCTGAAAGCATGATCCGGCATGGAATTTCATGGATCTCCGTCTTCGCCAGCTGTGGTTTTTTAGCTGTTCGCTCAGGCTCCGGCCCCAGCCCCAAAGTTGGCAGCTCGGGAGCGAGTGACTGCGAGTGTAGTGAGGTGGGAGTTTCCGAAGATTAGGGGTACCTTATTTTAGGGTCCTTCTAATAAGGATCCTACTATTTGGGCGTTCCTTGGGGACCAAACGACCCTCATAAGTAGGGGCCCTATACCCTTATACTATGTCCTTTGAGGGCTCTTTGGGGTTTAGGGTTTAGGGTTAAGGGCTCTTTGGTTTGAGGGTTCTTCCTTGGGTACGAAATGACCCTTAGAAGTAGGGGCCCTATACCCTTATACTAAGGACCCCCATATGGTATACGAACCTCAAACCCTTTTGGGGTTCATTTCGTCCTGAAGGTTTTTCCTTAGGTATTTAGGGTTTAGGGCCTAGGGTTTTTTTCCGAAATTGGGGTACCTTATTTTAGGGTCCTTATAATAAGGATCCTAGTATTTGGGGTACTATCTTAGGGTCCCCTATTTTCCGAAATCCCCATCTGGGTGTTTTTCTTTAGGTATTTAGGGTTTAGGGCCTAGGGTTGAGGGGAAGTAGAACAAAGACGTGTCTGTGGGAGGAATTGAATTTAGGGTTCAGGGATGAAGCGTTAGAGTTTAGGGTTGTGGGGCCTTCGTTAAGAGAAACGATGTAAACCCTTAAGCCATAATCGATTTGTAGCAGCTTTCTGTGTTCGATGTTCTTGGACATGTTGATTGTTGGGTCCGGCCATTGAAGGAACGGGGGTTTCGGTTTTAGGTTTACCTTAAGAACCCCAAACCCACTTTTTTGTAGGTTCTTGTTATAAACCCTAATATGGGACCATAGAATAGGGTTTTGGGCCCCTGTATAGTAGAATCAGAATACGGAACCACCAAAATAAGATAGGTAATTAACTAGGCCCCATACCCTAAACCCTAAACCCTCAGCCCTAAACCCTAAACCCTAAACCTTAACCGTACTATAGCACATGACCACGGAGCTTTAAGTAAGTATTCGGTGATGTTGAGTCTGGAGGTTTTCGGGTGTCAGGCGTCGGATCTGTAACTTCAGGCTTCGGTTTGGGGCCTTAATTAGGGTTTTAGGGCTTTAGGGTTCTAGGGTTCAGGGTTGAGGCTTTAGTGGGGGGTTTGCCAGGGTTTAGGGTGAGGGTTCTTGGCTTCAATCTGTGGGCTAAAGTTTCGATGTTGAGTTGTACCGTCAATTCAGGAGGTTCGCGAGATTTACCCCTAAACCCTTAACCTGTTGTTGGCTCTACTTTGGGTTTAGGCGGTTTAGGGCTTGAGTTCCGAATTGCGGCAACCCTAAATGCCAAACGTTCAGACGACCAAACGCCAAACAAAACCTTGAGACAACTACCGGTTGAAAGCGGGAAACAAAGCATATGCTATTCTCCGAGTGCCAGGGAGATACCGAGTTGTACGGTTTAGGATGGATTTCCAGTTGCCGTTTGCAATCAGTTTTCAACCCTAAACTCCCAAACCCTAAGCCCCCAAGCCCACAATCCTAAACCCCCAAACCCTAAACCCCCAAACCCTAAACCCTAAACTCCCAAACCCCAAACCCCTAAACCCTAAACCACCATGCGCCACAACTCGGCCGGGCTATTCAACAGCTGACACAAAGTGCTCTGGAGCTGGGTGGCAAACTTTAAGTTTCCGCACAAGCCCCTTATCAAGCCCTCCATGCCACTTTTTGTAGAATTCGGTGACCCTAAACCACAAAGCCTTAACACAGAGCCATCTGTTGTTTTAGAGTTGAGGTCGTGTATGAGTTGACGGTAGGGTCTAAAGTCGTTTGTGATTCTGCGGTTTGGGTTAAGTATAGGGGGCTTAGAATCGTTTTTTCGTCCTTAGGTTTTGGTTATGGAGTAAGTTAAGTGTAGGGTTTTGTTTTTTGGTGCCCCTAAGTCAAAGCCTACAACCCTAAACCCTAAACCCTAAACCTTGTGCCCCTAAGTCAAAGCCTAAGCCTCAGCCAGCTCTACTACGACGACAAAAGCGGCGACAGCGAGCTGAACACGAAGGCTGCCAGGGTTCCGGATTCCGATTCCTGCACAGGGCTTTCCCCAAACCCTAAACCTTAAACCTTAAACCCTAAACCTTAAACCCTAAACCCTAAACCCTAAACCTTATACCATGTCATAAGGGCCTTATATAAGCTTTTTTCAAGCTTTTGAAGTACATGGTTGGGCTCTAGGATTTTGGGGCTTTGGGGCTTAGGCACTTGAGAAGTTGAGGATGCAGGGCTTCGGGATTGCAGTTTTTTGCTGTCCGGAAGCTAAAACGTTCGGGGTTTTGGGGTTCAGGGTTTAGGGTTTGGGCTTAACCCTCAACCCGATAAACCCACAACCCTAAACCCCTAATTCCTAAACCCCTAAACCCTAAACCCTAAAACCCTAAACCCTACACCCCTAAACCCTAAACCCTCTAAGCCCTAAATTTGAGGCTTCAAGGTGTTGGTTTTCAGGGGTTTCAGCCTTCAGGTTATACGGTTATTGCCTCTCGACTGGGTCACGCTTGTGGGCTGCACACCTTTGTTTAGGGTTTATGGTTCAGAGTTTAGGGGGCACAGACTCTGCACTCGGCGACAACTTCAATCCTTTTGCCGACAAACTGCATGCCCAGACATCACCGGGCTTTGAACGGAACCCAAACCATAATAGTAAGTCCTGCTATAGAGACCATACTTTCTGCTGTTTGGTACTCGGGAGGCTTTGGGAGAGTTTAACCATCTTGGACAGGTGAGTGCTGCGGTCGAGGCTGTTGCAAAAAAGAGACTCGGAGGCAAGACGGAAGAGGGACGCCGGAAGCCTGCACCGAAAGTTGCATTTCTTATGGGAACCCTCCCGTAAAATCGGCTATCTCTACCTTACACTACCACATCCTTCTTCTTGTAAGTTCCTTAAACTCCCGTAACCTACATTTTGTAGGCTCTTATTTCCATGGAATTTTTAAGGGACTCTACCCAAAGTAGGTTATGCTAGGTTAAGGTAAGGTTTAAGGCTAGGGGGGCTATGAGTCTAGGCGCAGAGATGCAGAATCCCAGACTCAGATAGTCTACAATAGAAGCCTACACGGTTGAGGGTTCAGGGTTTAGGGTTTAGGGCTTAGGGTTTAGGGTTTAGGCTTTAGGGTTCAAAAGTTGGAAACCCAATAGCCTCAATCCTTAAGAGTAACGCCGCTGGGACTAATTGTCCTTAGTCCGATCTCCAAATTTCGGGGTGTACGATATACACGAGCCTTAAAGTGCCTAGGTGGGAACCCCTCTATGGCTCAAACATATACCATGTGGGCACACGGAGCCTGAGGGACGATTCTGCAACATGCGTTCTGGGTTGTTGGGATCGTCGTTTCTGGTCCTTGTCAGCGACTGTGCAAACCACAAGTTTCGCGTGCTTCCTCCTTTGCTAGCTGACAGCCGGTGATAGCATTCCGCTAAGCGCCAATCCATCCTAGCATCTTCGCCACTATAAGTTAAACCCTAACCCCTAATCCCTTTGAGTTCCAATACGCCAGACCAAGGATGCTGGGGAGGATCGCCTTCGTTCGTCAGAAAAGCTCCACGTGCCCAGCACTTTTGGCTTAGGGTTTAGGGCTTTGGGTTTAGGGTTTAGGGGTTAAGGGTTTAGGGTCTCGAGAATTGTTGGGAACGGTTCCCAGCTGTACGCTTTTGCACTTTCTTTGTCGGTTTCCCCCAGCAAAACCGAGAAGTATGAAATAAAGGTACCGTATTGTTAGGGGGGCTGCTGGGGGGCCTAGGTTCAGGATTTAGGGCTCAGGGTTCAGGGTTTAGGGTGTTTTTCGGACTCGATTCAGACTTCAGATTCTAGTTTGGAAGCCTAAGTGCTTACTAATACTAGTCCTCCGGGATTTCTTTCTATGTTCATAGCAGACGACTCCTCAAAACTGCAATCCAGATAATATTGGGGTCTTGGAGTTTGTAATATAGGGGCCTTAGTAATTCTGTGTGCTCTTTATTACAAGTACAGTATCATCTATAACCCCAAAACCCTATTCTAATTACTAAGGCCTCTGCATTATAGTACCCTTATAGCTCCCTTATAGTAGCCCTTATAGACCCCTGTAAAAGGAAACCCTCTTCTAATTATTAAGGCCGCTACATCAGGCTTCAGGGTTTCAGATTTCTGCGTTGCGGGCTTCTGAAGCCAGGGTTCCAGGTGTTTAGGGTTTAGGATTTAGGGTTTAGGGTTTAGGGTTTGAACCTTGCAGGCCAACGTCCTAAATGCTAAATCCTACTTTAAATCCAACCTTAACCCTAAACCCCCAACCCTAAACCCCAACCCTAGAGGGGTTTGTTGTGAGTTTGCCTGAAACTTGCGG